ATGTGATATTTCATAAAATTTTGGGGGACAACATTTTTGACATATGAATGATAATAATTTTATTAAGATTCGTATTGTCAATATGACAGATGGAGCGCTTTATGGAGGTTGCATTTCGATGTGCAACGGATGGTCGGGAGTAAGTCAGCGTAAAGTTGAGAGCTTCTATGAACCGTGACACTATATCCATCTGAATCACCTGAGACATCAATGATGGCACAGAACTAAGTCACGCGTTCTATATGTGGGCTGAAAGGAGGGTAAGAAAAAGAAAGGACTTGCAGAAGAGCAGACAATTTTCATGCCTAATGAGTCACTTGTGGTGAAGTAGTCAAGGCATGAAAACTTAGTCTAATTCATTTTCATCAAGGTACTTATTAAGCAAGAGCACTATAATATGTTAAAAAGAGTAGATGTATGCAAGTTATGAGTGGAGAAAGAACTGTGTAAATAAAGGTGGTTCAGAAAGAAGCTGAAAAGTATGTCGACTAAACCAAGCTATGCCCAAAAATTTAATCTAATTTTCTTAGATGTTGATTTTCCTAGCAACCTGGTACCAAATAGTGAGATTCGTAACGGATTTGAAAAAGGTTTTTCAGAAGAACCAAATCCTAGTTACTTTAAATCAAATGACAATCTAATCATTTCTACTGGAATCTCCATTCAATGTGAGAAACATGATTCAAATAAAGTCATAATAATTCTCAGTTGGAGATATGGGGATCAGACATTACTTCGTGGAGGAGGAGAATGTTGGAGAATTTAAGGTTACACACATTTTTCTTAAAAATCAGAAACTAAAATTTGGATCTTCAAAAAAGGGGGAGGTTTTATATTCTGGTGAAGATTAAATTAGGGGTGGCTATGAACGTGGAAGTCAGTAGTCAATTAACTGAACATAGCTTAATAACGGTAAATCGTACAATAATAAGTTATGGGTCAAAATGAAGCTTATAATAAGGGGAACATAGCTATACATAATCTAGTTACTGAACAGTTATATGATAAGAAAAAAAAATATATATAATATTAGTTCATTATTAGGTCTCAGAAGTTACCCCTAATTTTATCTTCACTAGGATATAACACCACACAATCCTCAATTCTGAAGACGAGACAACTGGAAAAATAGATATTTAGCAGTTAACATGGATAAAAACTCTATGATGAAGAAGGCGGGAAGAATGAATTCAATTGATTTGAAATTATCGGGTAGCATAGCTCGGCTTTGAAGGCGTGGTCATTCTTAAATGTTCTTATATACCTTATATTCATATTAAATGTATGATTCTATCTCTAAGATAACTAGGTTCTGCATCATGTATTGATGATTGTTACGACGCGATGAGTTGGTGTAAATAATGATGTGACTTCCATGTAAGATCTTATAAATTAGGCAGTTACAATTTTAGGATTAAGTCCATTATTAGAGCTCTATGTTACGGAAGAACTGAAGAAATTTGACCGAATAAAACTCATATTAATTATTATTAACTTAGACTGTTTTTTGGATGTATTTATTTCACTCAGCTTCTGAACTTGTTTGTTTATATCATTATTTTCGGGCATTTTGATTTCTCTTTGTCTTTGGTTTGGTATTTTGGAGTTTTTGCTCCGGGAACCTACAAAATCGAAGGTTTGTTTTGTAATTGTTATAATTACTGTTGTTAGAACGACATTTGGGTCGACTATTTGTGAATTGCGAATAAATTTTGGTACCTAACTGGAGTTTGGTTCTACTATTAATTTGGGTTCGTAAGTTGCGAATAGTTTAATATGCCATATTACAATAACTGGAAGAAGCGAAAATTCGGACGTAAACCTGTAATGATATCGAAATAGACCATAATTATGCGTAATGATACCTATTCAACCGCAAGCTTTCATTTTATTCATTGTGTACTACAATATGGCTTGCCATTCTTAACTTCCACCCAATTTATCAGTTTCAGTATCCCACACTCACAGCTACCTTTAGCATGATCTTGTACAATTATTATTTTTTCATTATTTTGTGTGGTGAAGTCTGGCCTAATTGTGTGTAAGCTAAGTGTGTCTGAAATACGCGATCCACGCAGTGGAGGCCGGTATTTGTGTTCTGTACTGAAGGGGCTAGTCTAGATGAATAGTGGCTATGAAAAGTACTATTAGGTACTCAGGGTTGATTCAGGACTGCTAGTGCTGTCTGACGCATCATCGGTTTAGCAAAGGAGGGAGGTCGTAGAAGTCGATATTCCGATTGGTGGCTTTGTCACGTGACATTTGACGGATCATGGAACATTATGCAACCAACGCACATCAATGGACAAGTTCAATCGGCAGTGGTCGCGATCTGTTTCTTGTACCTGTTGAATTGTTGTCTACTATGATATTTTTACTACTCTCATAATAGACCTTATCCTAAAAATGCAGATTCGTCATGATGTAACTGCTTATCTATAAGATTTAAGTGGAAGTCATTCATCGTATCGTAACAATTACCAGTGTATGATAAAGAACACATTCAGGCTGGAGATAGGACAATATATATAATAGGAGTAAAATCAAGTTGTACAGATAGACCACGCCTACAAGGCCGAGCCATGCCGTCCAATCAATCCGAATTAACCCTATTCATTCTTCCCGCATTCTCCATTGTTGAGTTTTTCTCCGCCCTAAGTATTGAACATCTATTTTGCCAGTTGTCTCGTCTTAAGTTTTGGGGATTGTGTGGTTATGGCCCAATGCCACTACATGCCTATTTTCAATAATATATTTCTGTAATGACTTCATTTGTGGTGCGAGATCATCAAAGTATCTATTGCACTTTGTTACGACGAAACTTTAGTCTGCGTAATGTGACTTTGTGGTAACTTAGGTTGGGTAGTTACGAGTTGACCTCAAAGAACTAGATATATATCAAAATAAAGACCTATTTTCCTACTAGTTGGGTTTCTTCTATTAATAACACGAGGGTTATCTATAGGCACGAAAAACTCACTTCCTTATTTTGTATAAACATCATATTTCTCATTATCGTATGTTGAATGTTAAAAAGCTTTGTATTTTTGTACAGGTAACTACCGCCTCAGAGTTTACTGTTACGCAAGCTAAATAAAGAATTATTCACTGTATTCTGGTTTCTTCTATCAATAAAACGAGGGTTACCTACATGTACGGAAACTTCGACTTTAGATGATTTTTCACATCGCTCCCGTCTAACTCGAGAAGGTTCTCAGTCATTCGACACAGATAATATATATTGGCAATCAATGGCTACATTCTTCTACAGGCGATATAAGACGCCTTCATTCATTTAGACTGTCGTGAGTGCAGAACGCATCTTGAGAAAAAAATTCTGATGAATGAACGTAATTTATGTTCAACAAATAAGGTTCATTAACTATCATGAATTGATAACAATAAGAAACAGCACTCTTCCAATTTCAGTGCTCCTATCGTTCTTGTCGTCGACGGCTATAAACTTATTTATTGGATGGCTGTTAAGCAGCGAACAAATTGAGGAAAATAAATAAACAAGAGTTCCAGAATCGATCTTCCAGACGAATGAGCAAGTGCCTATGGTTTTGGCACTCAAATTATGTTGACAGCATCAGTAAAGATGACGTGATTGACAGTCCAAACGAAACACTACACACGACATGGTGAAGTTTAGCACTATATTTGCATTCTCGGTTCCGAAATTAATCAACAACACTCTGTGTTCACTTTGTGACCAAACCATCAATACAGGCTGATTTGTGATAAGACTCCCTGCCTATCTTCGAAGCAAAAATGTAGTGATTTGGTGACTTTCTGAAGGTCCGGATTCCGAAAACATAGTTAGACGTTCTAGATCAGATGTCTGTGAAATAGATATTTGAATCGATTATATGTGTCTCTGAAAACATGGGTTCATTTAATAAAAAAACGCAGGTAACTTATCAAAATCATTTAGTGTAACCCTTTAATTTAAATGGCGGCACTCATTACTAGACGTGGGGATCACTTTACATTTATGTGGGTCCAGACACGTAATAATTTGAGAGTTAGACATAGTCGAAGTAAATCAAACCCAGTCGTTCTGCTGATGGAGTACAGATAATAAAATAATGGGGTTGGGAAGTGACTAGTTAACTGAAAAAGCAAGCGTATAGGAGTTCCAAACCTACATAAGGCTTCGTATGCCAAAAGCGTATCTCAAACACAGTTTAAATAGAACTCACATACTGATATCATGCTTAACAAAATAGGTGGGCTGCATTAAAGTTACTCTTGAACAGGTACACTGAAAAACCTGTTCTGAGTTGGAAATAAATACTAGCGGTGAATTCTGGCTGAATGTTACCGGTCAGTTTTGCCTAAAATGTTCAGAACTTCCAATAAGTCACTTTGCAAATGTGGTGTTAAATAGGAGAAAATCACTAGTCCACGCAGGCTGATTCCCCGTAGTGACTGAGTTTTGTAGGTTTTTTTAAAGTCTTACTTCGGTTACCATCAAAAATATCAATGGGCTTAATGTTTTCAACTTAAATTATCTCGTTATCTTTCTCGACAACAATCAACTAGTGTGGGCGAGGAACACCTTTACAAGTGGCACCTTTATAACCAATGTATACAAACTCAGCCAGAACAGAAGTCGGAAACGGAGTTCGAAGATATATTTGGCAGGTTATCAATATGTCGATTAGCGTTTAGTCTAAGCTGGCTAGTATTTTAGAGGGATGCGTAGCATGGCTTGCCAACTCGTTATTTGGTATGGATGCGTGGCCAAGCCCCTTTAGCTGTGGTGTGTTTATTAACATCAGTGAGGTCAGCATCAATGTCGACGATCAACAAAACTATTTTATTCGCGGATTTATTTACTATTACATACCCAATGTATATCGTGTCCTCACATATAATCTCACACATAAAAAAAGTTTACTATTTAAACAACACGCGACAGGGAATTTTCGATCTACTGATAATTTATAATTAGTGCCTAAAATCACTTTTTGAAATAATTGTTTTTCTATATCACAACCTAAGGTTTAAGAAGTTGCGCCTTCTTCAGATCTTAGATGGCATTAACATTTTCTTTTTCACCTGCGTCTGTTGTGGAACCTGATTGCTTACGAAATGTTGTTAAGTTGGCAAGAGAAAACAATTTACTTCTTTCGGAAGAGACTTGCTGGTGCTTACTGGACTCATGTCTGTCGAAAATTCCGTTGAAGAAAACTTACCAACTTCTAGATGAATGTACGTTTGCTTGACTACAGGTTTACCGTCATTTAGTATACAGTACTGAGGAGTTAAGGTTTCCAGAAGGTAGCGAGTTTGCAGTTGAGTCGATACGTGCCAGATCTGTTAACAAAGTAATGTCACATTTTTGTATTCATAACCTCAGGGTATTGTTTTCTATTATGTAAAATGGGTTGGGTGGCCACCTGTGTTCAATACTTGGGAACCAGAATCTAATCTTCATGGATGCGAGGATTTAATACAAAAATTTATTGAATCTTATGGCTCGACGATTGGGATGCTTCCGGTATGTCCTGTTGATAATTAATCATATTTTCAGCCTGATAATCAACCTGATAGAAAATCACAGGTTCAGGAAGTAATGGATCGATTGAAGGAAGCTGTCAATACATCTGGGTCTCTACCGTTATATCTACTAGAACGATTTTCCAGTCTCCAACCTGATCCTACCAATAGCCTTCGACCATACAAACACTTACCCACCATAAACATCGAAAAGCTTTTTTCATCACAAATATCACAAGGCATTATAGAATCTATTTCACTCAAGCGACCTCCCAGTGTCGCTGATCTCTTGCCAGTTTCTACCAAACGTATTCGTCTTAGTCGGAAAGATAAACAAGTGTTGGATTCTGCTCTAAGTGCTTTCCAACAAAAACTCAACACTGTCTACTCAAATGAAGCACCAATCACTGTGGAAAATTCTGTAGATTCTGAATGTAAGTCCCTATTATTATGTAAAAGTTTATCTGGAAATGTATTCTAATGAATTATTATGAAGCTAGATTCTTGTTTCCATCAGACATTCGCATTGAAATGTTTTGTAAAAAGTGCATATTCACTCTATGGACAAGCTAAGAATAATTTATTCTGTGCTTTCTACATTTATCAGTCATTAACAAAGTATCTATTAAACCTACGTACCATGCTTTTAGTAAGCTTAAGATAAGGATCATTCAGGGAGGTCTAAATAACAATATCTGATATGCTAGTGAATAAACTACTTAGAATATCCTTCATATCGATCAAGTGAAATCGGTAAATTAAGAGTACAGAATAATGCTGCAAACATACTATAGTTGTTTAAACTTCTATGGTAAGGTGGTCTCCACAACAGCTTTAATTCTCACACGCGATTGGTACAGATTAGTTCTGAAACATTTTGTTCTTAGTATATGAAATACAACCCAAATATTCTTGTAATCTTACTCAATGAGTCTATAACACTAAATTTCATTAACATAATCAAATAGTGTCGTTGACATGCTTCCAGTGTTCAGGTAGGTTATTATTTAATGAACCTGACGAGGGGTTAATTACCTCTAGGAGAACGTTTACAAAGAAACCAAGCAAAATCGGTGAACAGTGAGTCGAGTAAACCAAACGTATACCTAAAGTTATCAATCTCAATGACAGTTCTCCATAAGCTCTGATTCAACCATCGGTATTTAAGTAATGTCCGTACAGGTTTGATGTATTTTGGTAGGCTTTTTGATTCCCGACACTATCACAGGACCTCTCGATCAACATAGTCAGGTAATAGCTTAAGGTCAAGAAATATAACTGAAGTCAAATGTCAAAAAGTATGTCTATATTCCAGAACCTGACGATCAATACCTCATTAGTAAAACCTAGTCAAAGTAGTTGATCTTCTGTAGCTTCGTTTAGCGTTTTGGGTTTTAGAATTGTCTGTCCATATAAGCAACAATGCTAGCGAATTAAAATAAAAGAGGGCAGTTAACTAGTGATATGAGCAGTTGTGACTTCGAGTTGATAATAGCCTTTGATATGGATTGCTACTTTTTCGGCAGACGGCTTCTAGGAATCAAACACATGACAACGTTAGCTTATTAGAGTACTAATTGTCGGTTTTTGTTGAACATTTTGTACGTGCAGTCAGTCAGTCATTCAGCTACAACGTGGGACCAGGCAAATCTATGCATCGGTCCAATTTGCCATACCTCGTTAGCACAACAAGTTAAATACCGAATTCATAAAGTGGTTAATTCAACGGTGATAATATGTAATATATAAAAGAAAGGTTGCGTATAAGGATATGGTACAGGAAGAAAGAATTAGTCCGTAGAAAGAAAGATATAAGGCAATTTTAATCTCACGGTTTAAGGCAAGACAAAAAGTGTGTACACCGACGCCATCGTGATCGATTCTGAGTCATTTCAACCAGTCTTCAACCATTGGTTACGATAGTCATGCGGACCCCAACCAAGTAGTCTGCATCTACCAACATGGCTCAGACTGGAAGTTAGTGACTTCAATCACTGATGCCACGTTTTGGTTTGGCCGCCCCTAACTTTCTTCCAGCCATCCCCAACACCGGTTAGCATTACAGGTCGTGGTAATCGGTGTTCAGGCATACGCAACACGTGGCCCAACCATCTCAGTTGATGAAGATTCACAGCCTCATCAGCTGATTTACCATCATTCACTGGACACAAACACGTAGAATCCTCTGGAGATAAGAATGGTCAAATACAAAACGTGACCAAACATCCTCAACTCACAGTGTCCGGGTTTCTGAAGCACCAAGCACCCTGGTCCACCAGGGTGCTGCACTATTCAGATTGTAGCGTTAAAGCCTATACGGTGTCTGGCTCTCCTATTAGACGGGCTTGGGCTGTACTGTTCGGGTTGTCACGTGAAAGTCTGAATGGTGTCTGGTTCTCCTGAAAACCGATGTAAAATTACCCTGGCCTACAAGGGTATATTATATAACTGTGAATTAAAAGCCCCCAAATGCCCTGGTACGGCCGAGAGTGGGGAGAGTCCTCTCTCCCTCTCGAAATGCTCTCACATGGCCACGCGTATATAGCCTCTGCCAGAGAAGTCCTACTCACTGCCTTCTCGCAACACGGGTGTTGCTTACGAAAATGAGTGGATGAAAAGCGAATGTTCGGCGCTTTAACCGGATCCCAAACCAATGGTGCACATGGGCTCTAGTATCCTGAAGGAACAAATGGCGTATGAACCAATCGTTGGTCACCGGCTACCATGGGACTGGACTGCATCTCCTTAAGATGCTCCACTGCCTTGTGGGTCAGACGTTAAGGTCAAAGGCTCAGGGTGTGGCCCCCTTAGAAAACCACCTGCTTCGGTCTGGGCACCCGGGCAGTATCACAGCCCTCACACAAATCAACTGAGATTCGTGTGGAGCATATGTATTTGGTGCCTCCTTGTATCAATAAAATAAATAAATAAAATCTGAAGCATACGTTAGAACTGCTCTCACAAACACATTGTAAACTTATTCTTTTACGGCCAGATTGACGTCATAACGGCGCAAAGTTGGTTCATATTGGCTCAAACCATTCTGCCTTACACCATACGTTGACTGATCTCATCTGAAATGAAATCACCACCACACACAAAATCACCTAGGTTCAAGAACGTTTCGACTATTTTTAAGAGCTCTCTACAAAGAGCGAGTACGAGCATCAGCTGTTGTCAGTCTTGTAGAAGTATTTTGCATTTGTGAGGTGTAAAGCATATACTATTTCTACGGATATTGATTGCTCTTATTACCAACCCTTTCCAAACAATGCAGCCAGTTCCCTAATCGGAAGTTTGGCACCATACTTACAAAAGGTTGAGGTTAACTCGTTTGGGTCTGATTGTTTGCGGCGCTTCAGAAGATGGATTCTTTTGCGGAACCTCGCCTCATCAGCTGTATCAGCCGTCACTGATAATGAAAGGCACGAAAGTGACAAATGTTGCTGGTTGGGGGCGAATTGGTTAGACTGTCCCTTGAAGAACTCTGTCCATCGTCCAAGATGCTGAGCGTTGTTGATTAGGGTCCTAATCGTTTCATAAATTGTTTCACTCACTCCAGATTTATTGATGTCATTGGCTCAGTCCTTACGCAAATTTTATACAATTAACTTATGTAAGAGTTTATTTTTATTGCCACGCTCCTGATTAGCTGTAGTTGACTGACGCTTGTCAAGGGGTTGTAAGGAGACTATGAAAAACCAAATCTTAGGAGCAAGGTGTTTTGCGAAGCCACAAGCAACCTTAGTCGGCATTTTCATGGTGTCATGCAGACGCAGACAGTGACCATATATACTTTTCGGTGGGTTGATAGCTAGCCTTAAACCTAGCTTCGTTTGATATTGAGTTACAACTGAAGGCGCAGCCAATTTACTTACATCAATTCATTTAGGACGAAAAATTTGTGGGCTACTAAAACATAAGACTGATGCGAACCAAGTCATGTTCAGAGTCCTCACAGTTATTTCAAAAGAAGTGAGTCTTATACATGATTACACCAATAGTAGCTGATCTCCACGTAGTTGATTTAAGTTCAGGCTTGAGTTGCTGAGGAAGGACTCAATGTAGTACTTTGGCAATGACTTTACCGATGGTTGGTAGCTGGAAACAGTTTTGTCTGCACAATACGGCAGAAGATGGTCACCATTATCTGACCGACGTGATCCCAAAAATTATCCAGGCGAATTTCCTATGTGCCCAACTGCCTGACTTGCGCATTAAAGTTTTTGATTAGCACTACAATAATGCGCTTTCTTGAAGGGACCAGTAAACTGATGGTAGAACTTATCCTTGACTATCAGAACGTATTTATTTATTTGAACACATAAATAGTGGTACAAGGGGGCACCAAATATATATGCGTCACACAAAACAATGAGAATTTAAAGAGAAGGGTAAGGAATTATAAAAAAAGAGAACAATAACGACCAGATTAGATTGCATAGAGCAAAACTGCTCTCACCGACGCGTTGTAGATCCGACCTTTTACAGCCAGACTAACATCACGAAGGCGCCAAAAATGGCCCAGATTGGCATAAGCCGCTCTGGCTTTCACTATACATGCATTGGTCTCATCACTCACGCCACCTCTAGCACTTATGCAGCTACCCAGATACACGAACTTCTCGACTACTTCTATCTGCTCACCATCCAGAGTGAGTACAGGATTAGAATCCTGCCAGTCTTGTAGAAGTACTTTGCACTTCGAAGGTGCAAAGCACATACCATACCTACGGACATTGATTGCCAACTGATTAAGTGCGGATTGCATAGCTTGGGCATTATCGCACAGTAAGACAATATCATCCGCATACTCAAGGTCGAGAAGTCTTTCTCCAGGCAACAGATCCACACCACCATTACTTACATCCATCAGAGCTGTTTCCAGAATGTCATCGATGGTAAAGTTGAAGAGGAATGGTGAGATTGGGCAACCCTGTCTAACCCAACTGCTTGAATGGAATAATGGAGAAAGGTGGTTGTATGCCCTCACTCTACCTGAGGTGTTTGTATATAGGGCTTTTAGGATGTTAATAAACTTCTCAGACACACCCTTCTTCAATAGACAATCCCAGAGAACAGTCCTATCCTTCTCGGGTTTTAAACAACCTACGAAGTATAACGGAAGCCAATAGCTTGGACGCAATCGGAAGTAGACTTATCCCCCGATAGTTGTTACAGGAACAACGTGAACCTTTTTTAAAGATAGGGACAACTATCGACTCATTCCATGACGTTGGTACACTCTCTAGTTCCCAGACCTTTGTAAACAACGTCGTCAGTCCCTTAGTCAAAAAGTCACCACCATCTTTGAAAAGAGCCGGAGGTAAGTCGTCTGGGCCCGGTGATTTGTAACGTTTCAAGAGTTGGAGTTCCTTGCGAACTTCCGCCTCATTTGGTGGATCAGTCGTCACCGGCCATGGAGGGCAGGACAGTCTGACCGATGTTGCCGGAGCAGCAGGCCAGTTGAACTGCCCTTCAAAGAATTCTGCCCATCGTCCAAGACGTCGATGGATGTTCGTGATTGGCGTTCCGTCATCCTCGCAGATTGTTTAGCTCACACCAAACTTCTTTCTGCCAGTGGCTCGGATGAGTTGGAAGAGCTTCCGGTAATTACCAGATGCAGCTGCTGCTTCCAGCTCATTAGAACGCTCCGACCACCAGGCTTCTCGGTCCTTACGCAAGCTTTGCCCAATTTCATTACGTAACATCCTTCGTCTGTGGTCAAACTCACGGTCACCCGGAGTAGACCGACGGGCTTCAATGAGTTGTAAGGAGCCTGAAGAAACCCAGTGCTTATAAGCGTGACGTTTCGCGAACCCACAACAGACTCTACCCGCCATTTTCATGGCGTCATGCAATTGCAACCAATGCTCATCTATACTTTTCGGTGGAATGGTAGCTAGCCTAGAAGCTAGCTCGGTTCGGTACTTACTAGCAACAGAAGTTGCAGCCAGCTTGCTAACATCAATCCTTTGGTGGCGGTCACTTCGTTGTCCACTGAAAAGTAAGGTAAGATTGGCGCAGACCAGAGCATGGTTAGATTCCAGATAGGTACTTCAAAAGGAGCGGCAGTCTTGTACACAACCACGCTAGCGGTAGCTGATCGCGATGTGATCAATCTGAGTCCAGGCTTGAGATGTAGAAGGGGGACGCCAGGTGGCACATCGGCGATGACTGTGCCGAAAGTTAGTGCTAGCCAGAAACAGGTTGTGGTCTGTGCATAGTTGCAGTAGACGTTCCCCGTTATCTGTCCTGCGACCAACGAGTCCCCATCGGCCACCTAAACGACTCTCTTCTGTGCCTAGACGCCCGACCTGAGCATTCAAGTCTCCAGCTAGTACTACAATATCTGTCGAACGCACTTTCTGGAGAAGAACAGTAAGCTGATGGTAGAACTCGTCCTTGATTGCATCCGGGCTGCAATCTGTCGGGGCATAGGCGGAGATGACGAAAAGACATCGTTTCTCACGCCGATTTCTTCTCACTTTGATGGAACTTTCTAATCTAACAGCACATAACCGACTGTTAATGGGGATCCAGTCGACTAGTGCTGCCTCAGCTCTAGCGCTTAGTGCGACACCAACGCTAGCAAGACTAGACGAAAATGCCACAGGGTCCCCGGATAAACGCACATAAAACAAGCTTTTTGAAGCGACAGATGGAGAGCGAATTTTTAGTACTTCACCAGAGTCTTGAATACGGGTCTCGGATAGACAACACACATCAATATTAAGACTTTCCAAAGACATAGCCAGCCCTATCTGTTGTCCGACCTGCATAAGTGTGCGAACGTTGAAGGCAACCAGTTTGAATGGCGCACGTGGTTTCAGAAAAACTTCAGTACTCGTGTTCGGTGGTAACATACAATTTTCAACCAGGCAGTGACTCGAGAACGTTTAGACAGAGCCGAATTTCCACCATAGGTGAGTTGCCATATAAGTCGAAAAATAAGGATAGAGTAGGGATAAAAAAGATTGAATAAATGACGTGGTAAATAATAATAATAGTGCGAGTTATTTCATTGTTAATCGAAGCGAAAGGAATATTTTCCATAAGTATATAGTTCATCATGTTTTTGTGTGTGGGCTGTGATACTGCCCGGGTGCCCAGACCGAAGCAGGTGGTTTTCTCAGGGGGCCACACCCCGAGCCTTTGACCTTAACGTCTGACCCACAAGCAGTGGAGCATCGTAAGGAGATGCAGTCCAGTCCCATGGTAGCCGGTGACCAACGATTGGTTCATACGCCATTTGTTCCTTCAGGATACTAGAGCCCATGTGCACCATTGGTTTGGGATCCGGTTAAAGCGCCGAACATTCGCTTTTCATCCACTCATTTTCGTAAGCAACACCCGTGTTGCGAGAAGGCAGTGAGTAGGACTTCTCTGGCAGAGGCTATATACGCGTGGCCATGTGAGAGCATTTCGAGAGGAAGAGCGAACCCACCCCACTCTCGACCATAACAGGGCATCTGGGGGCCTATCAGAACGTTGGGAGAAGTGAAGAAGAGACATCATTACCCATCCTGATTTTACCTAACTTTGGTAAATTTCTAATCTCATGGCGCATAAATGACTGGTAATTGGGATCCGATCGACTAGCACCACCCCTGCTCTGGAGCTTAGAGGGACACCAACACCAGCCGAACGGAACGAAAATGGCACACGATCCCCTGATAACCTCACATGGAACACATTTTTCGACTCGACAGGTGGAGCATCACATTTGTACTACTTCACTAGAGTCTTGAAACCTGACTTCACGTACAACGAATTGCTGTCAAGTAGGGAGTTTTACTGATAAGTAAACTCGGAGTTTAAGTAGATCTTAGATTTCCTTTAGTCGATGTTCTTACAGAAGATACCTTAGCACAACAACAGAATCGATCTTGACGAAAGACTAAATGTCTATGGTAAACATATGATTAGAGTAGTACTAGATCGTTTCCCAAATTTTACATTTTGCAACGACCTCTTTTTTCAAAATTAGTAGTTTATCTATTCAAAGCAAAGGTCAGTGAGATGTAGCTGTAATACACTCACTTAGTGTTTCTGAATATCGCTTAACGGAACATCATATAAAGTAGTAGAACTTTTTAACTGTTACTTCATGAAATCACATGTTTACTTTAGTTTTGAATATGTATTTTTTTAGAGTTGGGAACCCCCTAATCATACTGTTGGTACACAAAATCTAGTCATTTTTGTAGAAGATAATACATATTGGACTTTTTGTAGGTTAGATTTATCTAACCATATTCAGTGACTAACAGTTTAGATTTATAACAAACATTAGATTGTTAATTATTTGTAACCAAAGCCGTCGTTAGGCATATGACTCAATTTAAATATCTAGAAATCCTTTAGGTTTTACTTCTGATATCTAAAAATTATTTTCACTTCAGGTCCACCAGTTGAATTCCAGCCGATTCCAGATTATTTACCTGGACAAGATGTATTCTTACCAACCAAAGCTCCTATTGGGTGTGAATGTACAATGGACAATTTGGATCAGTCAGAGCTAGCTAAAATTCGTAAAACAGATGGAAGCAGTTCACCAGTTATATATCCTTGTTGGATCAATAAACGACGTAGTTGTTGTGCTGTTCGTGCTGGTGCAGTTCCACCCTATGATAAACGGAAAAGGCTCGTTGCCCCTCCTGGTCATCCTGTTTATGAATGTAACTCCTTGTGCGTCCACTTAACATTATTTATGTAACTTGTATATTCTAACTGATTTCTAACCAATGTTCATAGTTGATGAAAATTTATTTACCGATTACGATTTACTACTCATGCATTTATGATTATTATAATCCCTTTGTCATTATTTGAAGTATCAATAACTTATTTCATTTGTTTATTTCGGTTACTTTTATACACTATCCTTAACTTTTATGTACACTCTTCTTGTCACAAAAAAAACTTTTTGACTGTTGATATATTTTTTAATGCAATAGGTAGACTTATTGCCAGAAGACTTAAAAAGAAATGACATACATGTTTCTGCTCTAATTCAGTTTATTTGATTAACCCTAGCAAAAATTGTTAATAATCGAAGCTACTAAACAATGAAATCATTTTTCTAAAGAACTAATATAGTAGGATTTAGGAAAATATTGAATTATAATCAAACTTACTTAGTCTATATTGGATTCAATCAAAAGTGTAAACATTGCTTGGTTGACAACGAGCGTTTTTACGTTTTATAATTGATTGCTTCTAATTAGAATATATGTGTCCCATAGATTTTTTATTCAATCACTAAAATTAGTAATATCATACTTCATATTTAGTAGTACGATTTTGGATCAAGAGTTATGTTTTTATAGGTATTCATCTTGTTCAAATGGCTAATAAATTTTAAATTTATTTATTAACAGTGTTTTCTTTATTTATTTCATCAGATTTTATTCCAAGTAGGTATCTAGAAAATAAATGTATGTAGCCCATTATTTAGTGTTTTTGTAGGTTCATTGATGAATAACACTAAAGTAATTTGTTATTGAACGTTATCGTTAGTTTAGACGCTTCTCCTACATATTATACAATTTTCCCCGAGTATTATGAACTGTAAATAAGCGTTTTATCCACCAGCGTTACAGATTTTTTCATGGAAACGATTGGGTTTAGATAAGTGTTTTGTAGTCGCTTACTCTCTAGACTTCTTAACTTAGCTAATTATGCTGTTAACTACAGTTCTGTACAGATGAATTGTAATAGCTGTGTACGTAAAGTAAATTAACATAACGGAATTTAAAATCAGTTCAGCAGTTAAAAGTTAAGTATATCCATTACAAAACGATATTCTACGCATATATAAATGGGTTCTAAATATTTCACAATCCTAAAACCTAGTTGTTGGGTCACTAAAAACATGTATATGAAATTTTCGAGTTTTGTCGATGTAGTCTACTCACTTTTATTTTCTAATTCATTAATCAAGTAAGGACTTATGTACTTGGCTTCGAGCCATACCCCAAGTGTTAGGGCTTTCGATACTGTTCATTTTCCGGGACCGGAGTAGGGGGAGTGGGGTTCGAATCTGCTACTCAGTGGCTGAAAATCAAATGACTTAACCACTGAACCAATGTTCCATCAATTTTACTCTTTTTAATCACATGAGCAATCTTGACTCTTATCGGGGTCTATAGTAGAGTTATCAACTGGAAAGAGACGATATTATTGTTACTGAGCTTCTTATAATTGATTTCTGAGGACCTGTTTTTGTTCCTTTTAAAGTGTTTTTATTTGCTAATCATTAACTCATAAACGTTTTAGTAATTTTATGCAATTCTTTCAAATTTTAGATGTCCATGCGATTCGTCTTGTCCATTTCGTGTTGTTCAACTTGGACGAAAAGTTCCTTTGTGTGTTTTCCGTACACGTGACCGAGGATGGGGCGTTAAAACAGTGGTTCCCATTAGTAAAGGGACATTTGTCGTTGAATACTTAGGAGAGGTAAGCAACATTCCTAGATTTTGGTGCTTTAAAATAATTCGTTGAGTAAAATCATGTATACGTAACCCTCATCTTACTGATATATTTTTTTCCTTATCATCGACTAACTATTAATCTGTTTTGGTGAACTGTTTCGTCACTGAATCAGTCTGATTTTATTGTGTCAGATACATAGCAAGTCTACCATAAAACCATTCCAGTGTATGACTTGCAGTTATTTTGCCAATGCTTCAAATCTATGCTTCTTCATTCGGTTTAAGAGACGAGGTATAACTGTTAGCTGTAGTAATTAAAGTTAGACTTGTGGATACAAAACCAGTCAGTCAACCTTGTACATATGTACATCTGTTAAAGTTCTCATACCTCATTAGCATAGACAGATTAAGTTGTCTGACCAAATCCTAGAATACTAAAAGCAGCACAAGTATCAGTGGTGATTGGAAAGATTCAGTATCGATAATGCGATTTAAGAAAATATGAATTAGTGAAATAACAACGCCATAAATGTTATAAGGAATTCAAGAAATCAGAATTTTAGGGGAGACAACGGATGCACTTGCGCCATTGCAAATGATTTTGAGCCATGTCTTTCAAAGTCTAGTCATTGGTTACGATAGTCATGCAGACCCCAACCAAGTAGTCTATACCTATTAACATGGCTAAGTTCACTTATCTGTGATTTCGTGAACTGATTCCATGTCTTGGTTTCCTTGCTCTTACCCTTCTAACCCACTTGTACACCAGAAAACATCACCCGTCAGTGTAGGTGGTGGTTGGACATACATATTACATGTCCCAACCACCTTCAGTTACCGAAGATTTACCACCTCACCGGTTGATTTGTCACCCTCGCTTAGCACCTTATTCCTAACCTAGATACTGCTTATTCCGTGGTTCTAAAATGCAAGAGCAATGATTCGAAGACACATATGATCGAACACAAGTAACCTACGAATATCCTATATTCTTAGTGGTTGTTTCACACCCATAAAGCAGAACGGAGCGAATTGCTGCTCAGTAAACTCTTCCTCTGGTTGAAAGACGAATATCTTGCTTATGTCACAAGTGACACAAGTTAGTAAAGCCAGTCAAGCCTTCCAAATCTGTGACGAGATTTCTTCAGATGCCAGACCATCAATACTGAGGTGACCTGCAAGTTGAGTGAGGTGGTCGACACGCCCAACCACTTCACTCCGTTTCGTTAATTCAGGCGATGATGCAAGCCAATCCTTTTGCATATAGAAAACCACATGCCGAACATTCTTGGATTGTTGCTTAAGGTGGTCGGAAGCTCTGCACTGAACAGAGCTACTTCATTTGTGCATTCTTAGTTAAAGAATGGATCTCCTTGAAAAAGATAGATCCCTGAGAGTCAGATGATGGAAGCGTAATCTCTATGACAAAACTAAATAAAAATGGGGAAAGTGGACAATCGTGAGGAACACAACTTGAAGTAACCGGTGCTGATGACTCAACTAGTAGAGTTCGAGCAGAGAGGGTATACAAGGTTAATATACTATTTTGGTACGTCTGTCAATGACAGACCGGTCTGAAACCAGCTTGGTTTCCTCGGATTTGTTGTCTACGAGCTCTAGTTAGACAACGAAGTGATATTGAGACCAATATTCTAGACACTACATCTGTTGAATTTATTCCTCTGTGATTGTTACCAGAGGATTTTTGTCTTTTCTTATGAATTGGGATGATCAGCGATTGAGATCAGTCAGATTGGATTACATCCAGATCCCAGATTCTAGTTAAGATTTCAGCTGGTCTAATTGTTAGAACTGGACCACCATCCCTAAAAATCTCAGGGCTTAGTCCATCAGACCCTACTGTTCTCCTTCTCCTTAGATTACGTATAGCCTCTTCAAGTTGACTAAGATTTGGTGGACTTACATGAGTTTCCCACTGAGGTTGTTTGGAGATAGTGAGCAAATAACGTGTGCACGAAGGCCAGTTGTACTGTGTCCCTAAAATGTTCTGCCCATTGGTGCAATCTCCTGGATCGAGAGTGAATAACAGTCTCATCGTTCTCCAAGATATTTCCACTAACAGCTGTATCTTTAGTACTTGCATCCGTGATAAGTTTAAACAGTTGTCTACTGTTACCTATCGCTGCTGCATTTTCCATGTATTCTGCTTTCACTATCCACCACTGCTCACGATCATTATGTAGGCTTTCTATAATCCTACGGTTAAGCTACCTCCACTCGTCATTGTGTTCTAAGCCGGATGGGATGAATTTTGACGCCGCTGAAAACTACTAATTTTTCCGAACATTGTGGTTCATGTTACTAGTAGATATCACTGCTGTTTCCATAGCATTTTGGATATCATGCCAAGCTGCCTCGGGGTGGATATCATTTTCACGATTGACTAGTTCCCTCCCTAGCTGTTCCTGAAATATATTAACTTTTTCATTATTAGGTTGTGCTCTAAGTAGTTTCCTTCTCGTGGCTTTTTTTACATCCAACAAGAAGCGGATCAATGCATGCTCGAACTGGACCAGGATCTGGGTCTGAATGTATGCTCCAGAATGAGCGACAGTCTTCTGTCGAGCCTCTCCGACGATTGCTGGCAGCAAGATGTTTTATTTGGATTCGTTGTCGGGCGGACTTTGTAGGCCATTACTAAAAGGTGAGGGAGGGATTCGATCGTCAACAATGTGATCTCGGGTGCTGTTAGGAGTATTAGGGCGGTTGTCACTTCCAGGTTTTTCACCCCGTGGAAGAATATTTTTTCCTAGGGGACCTGAAAATTAGCTGAATTAGTGATGGCCTTAACGACTTGGGAGCGTATACCCCAGAACCCAGGGATCAAACGTTTGAGACCGATCGCTGATCGCTTTTTTATGGAAAGGCTTTAGTTTGTTAGCTCCGCACTTCAAATAGTCTTACTGCCAGAGACGGAAATCCATTCTTACTTTATGCTTGTTAAACCTAGGACCTTCGAGCTGAGGATGTTTGATGACATTTTATGTTTGACCGCCATTGTCTCCAAAAGACTGTTTACATCCAGTTGATTTGAACGTCTTGGCTTCTGCGATTGCCTCCCACTGGTATGAAATGAAAGGTGAAGACAACCAATGTAGCAATGGGCCTCAACATGTGCAAAGGAAATGGCAATATCCTCAAATACAACACAGAGAATACCAACCCAATCACACTTGGTGGAGAAGCTCTGAAAGATGTGGAATCTTTCACGTACTTGGTCACCATCATCGAGGATTAGCAAGTTATGGATTGCGTTCCTACAGTTGTAGAACATATTGAACTCAAAACAGTTGTCAACCAACGTCAAAGAATTTTCATTACAACCATCAAGACAGTTCTACTGTACGGGGTTTGAACTTGTAGAGCTACCACAATCATCACCAGAAAAGTACGAGTATTTCTACACAATTGTTTACGCAATATACTCAACGTCCGTCAGTCGGATACCATCAGTATCAATTTTATTGTGGGAAAGAACAAACTAGCTCCCATCTGTAGAGGAAATCGGGAAAAGATAATGGTGATGGATAGTTCGTAGATTGCGGAAATCACCAAACTGCATCACGAGGTAAACCATAACTTGGAATCCTGAAGGCAAGGCCAAAGAACAAACTGCGTTAGGAATTAGAAGTTTACATGAAAAGGATAAATAGCAACTGAAGACAGCTGGTAAGAATTGCTTGGGACAGCTGGGTGGAAAAAGCTGGTGGGCGACCTATGTTGTTCCACGAGGGACAACAGGCTTAAGCTGGTTAGTAAGGTATGAGATGAAGCAATATAAAACAATCGTAATACAGAAATCTCTTTTCAAGTAGATGTAGATTTGTATGCGTGTATTCTGGGTGGAAAGGATTAGTTTCCATAGTGATAACATGTCAACAACATCTTGTTATGGCAATGTGTACTTGGGTGCAGTAACCATAGTTCAACTGGTGTCACGATCTTAATGCACTGAATTCGTCGGTTTGGCCGTCGCAGCGATTTCTACACTGGACTTTATCTCTGACTTTGTGATTGAACGAAAAAAGCAGACAGGCCGTCGGTTTGTGATTTGGTGGTTTGGTGTAGAAGCTGTTTAGGGCTAACATCTGTCATTCCATTACGACTCCAGTTAAGGTCTTAGGGATTGTACAACTAAGATGTAGCTCAAAATACAGGCCAGTGGTGTCCTACTCCTAATTAGTCTTTTGGCGTCCCATTGCAGCACTGTTTATATACCTAAATGAGTAATCATTTATCAGTAATTGGTCGTAAAATTTTCAGACATGGTTGTTAAAAAGTTTTATATGTGTTAGTCTGTCATGCATCGAATAAATGTATGACACTTCTGTGACTAGAACTCATCTCGTCTAGGATATTTGCTGTAATCATCGTTACAGAGGTATTATCATTAATGGACATGTTGCTTAATACGTCAGAATTGTGCAAGCAAATATGTCGAAATACGTTAGATAAAATGATTTTTTAAATCTCATATTGTTGATCGAATTTTCCCAATGGAGGAACTGTGTTACAACCTATCTGTTTATCGTCTATTATAAAGGATCTTGTGAATATCTCTGTTTATGATAAATTTCACCACCGCTGTTCGTTTGTGTTTCTGTACAATTAATAATCACGTATGAGCTATTATCTAATGACTTTTTGTTCATTTTTGCAGATTCTTAATTTTGATGAAGCAGAAAAACGAGGGATAATATACGATAAACAGACTATGACATATCTTTTCGATTTGGATTTCGAAGGTGATGCTTATTACACTGTAGATGCTTCTCAAATGGGTAATATATCACATTTTATTAATCACTCGGTAAGTGTTTTGTTTACAAGGAGGTAATTATTGCGGTATTTTTTGGCATTATTTTTGTTTGAAATCCTACGCGCTTGTGATAAACTGTTAAACATTGGGTTGCTGAGTTGTTTTGCAATATAATCCTACTACATTCTTACCAGTATCTGTTCACCATCATCTCTTGAATTCTGTCTTTTAGGAGTATCTTAACGACCTTAAAACACCGCATATATGTGCATAGGTGTGATTTGCTAAACCACATCACAGCTAGATAAAGTCATCACCAAAGCATTATCAACGATTATTAAAAGGACCAGCATAAGGAATATGGTTCAAAAAGAAAGGATAAATTTGTGTAATAGGAATTCTAAAATAATTTTCAGACCTAAAATATAGGGGTAGACAAAGAAGGAACGAATCTACCCCACTGAAATAGATTTTAATGCATATTGAACGATGTATCCAACCAGTCGGAATTGCAGGTACTTGATATTTGTGGCAGGACAAGCAACTCAAACGAAATCGGTACAAACGTTGTTACTATAGTAGCGAAATATGACCTTCGAGCATGTAGGGATTTAGCGAACTAAGAAACATGATAACCAATCAGGAGGTAAAGGTCACGACGAAAATCGAATCGGTAGAAAGTATGCGAGTGGTTATCGTTCCTGACTATTCTTGCGACCGTCTTAGCACTAGGTCACTGACTGCTTGGAGTAATGCCATGTTTTGTTTTGGTTGCCATTGGGTTTTTTCTTACATATCCGGTACATCACCCAACGCCACTCGCCGGATAAGTGGCGACTGGCTACCAATGTTCAAAATACAGTCGATAAAGAATAATAGACTTCCTGTCTTTGATGAGTACGCTATGTCTGACATCGACATTTCTCACTTGGTCTTTCCATTTATAGTACGCAAGAGATGAGTTAGTAAACCATCAATGTGGAGCCTGGCACACTTATCTGTTGATCCGGGTTGCCATACCAAAGTAAAACGAGGAGATAAAGTTAATAAGATGTATGGCAAAAGAATTTCAGATAATGTAATAGCGATGACGATAAAAAGGACTAAGCAGTGATAGTAGAATTCAAAAAAATAGAGTGAAGAAGGTTATATGAAGGAATGTTGAATTTCAAGATCGAAGTGAAAATAAAAATAAATGCATCTGCACCATTGTGAGCGATTTTCAGCCATATTATCCAAAGCCTCCAACTACCAGTCTTGGTTATCGCGGGACTCAAAACAGATGGTCTCCATCCGTCTATGTGGGTTAAACCAACAATCGATGACTTCATGGACTGGTTCCACATCTTGGTTTGGCCACTCCAGGCTTCTTCCAACCCATAAATATCCCAGCCACTATCGCTCATCAAGCCAGGTGGTGGTTAGGCGTACTTGATGCGTCCCAACTACCTCAAGTAATGAAGATCCACCTCACCAACCAGTTTGCCACTTTTCCTAGTACCACATGCCTAACCTCAATATTGGTCACTTGTTCATTCCACGAGACTATAGTAATGCTTCAAAGACACCTATGGTCAAATACTTGTAGCCTTCCAATGTCCCCTACTTCCATAAACTGTTTTCACGGCTGTAAATTGAGATATAGTGAAAGGGTGGGATATATATTTGTTCTTTAATTGAAAGACAAACATCTAGCCGGCATCATAAGTTGGAGAGAGCTAGTCAAGATTTCTGAATGGGTGCATAGATTTTGTTAGACACCAACCCACTGAAGCTCATTGAACTTCTAAGGTAGATGAAGTGGTCAATATGCTTAACTACTTACGTACCTACTATTAGTTTATGCGTTGTGAGACAACGTTTTTCACTTACAGAAAGAGAAACTCTTCTCAAATATTTGGATTGTTGCTCAAGAAAGTCGAAAGACTGGATTTTATCAGCGTCATCACCAAATAGAATTGTGTTATCTGCATATTTGATGTCGAACATCAATCTCTGAGAAGTTGAAACTGCGTTTTCTCAAAATCTTATTTCTGACATAGTTAAACAAAGTGAATAGTAGTCAGCCCATGACAACCACCTGATGTTCTTACTTCTGATGACAATTTACTATAAGCTCTGACTTGATCAGTGCTTCTCCTTTAGAGACCCCCCACAGAGTACTCCTTTCCATGGCAGAGAGTAGTATGAAACCTGTCAGTTGTCTTGAACAAGTGTACATCAAAGTCCCATATTTCTTGGAGTTAGTTTCACAAGCACTCAACGTTGTAATTTTGTTTGATAAGTTCATTTAGTTACTTATTGTTATTGATCACTACTCCTTTTAAGCATAAATAGATAGATAAATATGCTACGATATAGCATAAGTTGGTTATATATAAATCTATAGAACGAACCATTGAATAGTAGAAAGATACTATATAAATTAAAAGTAATTTTATGTACAAATAATCACTACATTTTGACCCTATTACCTTGAACCAATAACCAACCAACCAATTAAATATCCAAGTCATAAAACGAAATACCGCCTTGGCTGCACATCAATTATCTCTAAATAGCTACATGATAACAAAGTGCTGACTATTTAATGGAAAATAAAGGGAACGTATAAATACTCCATTACAACCAGTTATGATTTGTTTCAGTTTCATTCTTCTGATATTTTTACGTTCTCTTAAATCGTAGACATGTAGTAAGCAGTTTTCTTTACGCACCTTATACTAAAGTACCATGGTGTCTTTATGTTATTGCAATGAGAAGTTTAACACAACTTAGTTGTTAGCTGAACTAAGCAATTAATTAAATATTAAACAATTTGTGGGTTGTCAGAACTTCGTAGGTATTTGCGACTGAGCTAGAAGCGATTCGACTGTGTACAAGATTATCTCAAGCACTGTGTATGAATAAGAGCAGTTATCGCTTCGCGGCTGACCATGGCGCGGTAAGATATTTCTTCTCGAGTGACCTGAAAATGAAACGTAAGTCCTAGATTCGACTGCTAGCCACTATCCATCTTTAATTAATAGTAAGGAATAGTCTTGAAAATCTGAAAACATGACTACAGAACTAAAACGGGAAACTGCTTGATGCCTGTCTGCTATGTTTGAAGAGATTATGAGATCACCTAAATCTACCAACGGATCGAAGACTCAACAACACTATCACCAATAATCTAACTATTCCTATGCGTCCCAACCCTGATAACTAGAAAAAGTTCAAGTTCAGAAGAGGGAAAGTGTATTCCACAAGCAGCCAGATGCACGAACAACAACAACAACAAGCATAACTCAAGTATATATATACAGCATAAACATATCCTTGGTAAACATCACAAAATAGCATAATGTAAGGGAAGACGAATCAATAACATTAAAAGTCCTGCCAAGTGGGGATTACAATATAAAGGTGAAAATGGGCACTTTTGGCGCGAAAACAAGAAATTCAAGTTTCTAAAATAAGATTACAAAAATAAACGTTTACCAAGTGAGTTCTGGTGATCCAGCATCCCCAACACTGTCACACTTAGCCTTTTTGTGAGTGATGTTCAATTCGCTGGCCCCGTGCTTATGAGCCCTTACCACCAGTGACAGCAATCTATTAGGTAAGCCAAGGTGTATTATTTTTATACCCAACCTTTTCTATCAACTTCCTGTTATGGAAAGGCTGCACTGCTGCATAATTTGATTGCCTGAAAGTGGCACCTTTCTGCCGTCCCACTTGTGTAGTTGACAGTACGATGTCCTCTTGGGACCTCGAGTTTGGCTCCTTCAGTCCTATCACAGTCCGATCAACCGGCCTGTAATAGCCAATCTAAGACTGTTGAAGAATGTGTGTCGGTTGTCGTCATTTGTTGAGATGCTTTTAATCCTCAAACGTTGTCAATTTTTTATCCTGTTTGTACTAGGTATGTTCAAATTCTCAGTTTTGCTCAAGGCCTGTGTTGTTTGTATGAATGCTTCTCAGTGGGTAACAAATGCATCACGTTATTAAAGATATGTTCTCATATGGTTTACTGCGAGGATCATTTGCGGCACACTGCATAAAAATCATTCGGCAAATACGAATTTATCTGCCGTTTTCGGCTACAGCATTTGTGTTAAACCTATTGGTACCACTTGGATTACTAGACCGAAATAGGGGGGATGAGATTCAGACTTGCTACTCATTAGTTGCATTACATGAGTTATATAGTGTAGCATAGTTTTATATGGTGCTTTCCAAATAGCTTAATAATGATCAATTTATTATGTTTGATACAAATTACTATTACCATATTGTTTGCTCTCCCTTTTTTAGTGTGATCCCAATCTCACAGTTCGTTGTGTTTTTATTGAGTGTCTCAATACGAAGTTGCCCCGTATTGCGCTTTACGCTTCTAGATTTATAAGGAAAGGTGAAGAACTTACATTCGACTACAATATGACTGGTAACTAAATCCTTTATGATTTTTATACATAAATGCGTATTTGTTTCTTATAGTTATGTTTTGCGCGACTAACGTAAATCTGCTAGTAATGAGCGTCTTGGATGGGATTAACAGAAAACTTTTCAATCAAGTTTCTTGTTTTCTTATCATTGATGAACAAAGGAAATTTATTTTATTCTAACAATTTCAGGTGGTAAAATTAAACTAAATATTGCTCGAAGCTATTTGAACCGATTACTTGAAGAGTTCAATATTGGAGCTCTTGTATAAGTATCTTATCCAACATTGATTGTAAATTTTGCAATCGTGACCCAAGTCTCGGTTTTGTTGATTTCTTTCATTTGTGATTATAGCTTAGTTACAAGTTTCCATTCCTTAGCATAAGTAATAACTAAAACAATAACTTTGTTTTGTTTCGAGACAAACTTTCGAATTGAAATGTTATTGTATAACAACATAGGACTTTTTATTTCCAGGTGCTGTGGCTGCGGACACTAGTGTAGTTATAGATGATGCCGGAGAGGCAGAAACTCCTTCAGAAACCCAATCAGGGTCATCGAATAATGGTGGGAAGAGTCCGACCCCATCTTCTTCCTCAGTTGACGTAACTCCTGACACAAGCAGTGAGGTAAGTGCGTGTTTGCATGTCAAGTCTGTCGATTTGTTGTAAAATATTTACTGCTGTATTGTATTTTCATCTGACATACTACTTCAACTCGATTGTCTTCGTTCGACTAGACGGCCTTCATTCTCTAAAGAAGTGGCTCACATTGAGTCATTAGGATATTACAAATATATATTAGTTTTATTTATATATGGCTATTTGTTTGTATCTCTGTCTCATCCTAATTGCTTATGAAGTGAATATGTAACAGTCTAGCTTTATCGGGAACCGGTTATTTAACTCCAGTGTGAGACACTTTGTTGGAACTGCTTCTCTAGATGAAGCTGTCATTTTTTACGGAGGTTTTTAAAGTTGGGTATTGTAAACAACATATATTTGCTTGACATTTAGGAATCGGTAAAACCAAACTGACCGAATTTTCTGAGGAGATTAACTGTTCACATTCCAGGTGATAATTTCATCATGGTTTATCTAGTTGCTCATTCCATAATTGTACCCGGTAATCAGTTAATTCCCCATCCTATCGTCAAATTCATGTTTTCAATGGCCCTTTAGTGAATTTAGAACTCATGGTTCCAGCCAATCACAGTCGCTTTTAAAGTTTGTAATTTGATTGGCTAATTGGTTTCTCTCACCTGCCCATGAATGACAGACTTTAAATGGATTAGTCATATCAGCCCTATGAATGAGTCATGCCCAAAGGTGGAGGCGCAATTTAAAAGGTCTGATCTATGGATGGATAACACACAGATCATGAATGAATCTTGAAAAAGTTAATCAGTTGTCGGCATTTGAATCGCTTCGACATCATTTAAAGTTATGGTTGTATGGGATAGACTTTTAATAACTTTCAGCAAAGAACTTCAACAGATTGAATTTAAACAAATAAATTCTTGTAGTTCTCTATGTAGAGTTTCATTATATATATCAGGTTTAGATATAGTCACACCAACTCAGCCTGTTCTTCTTTCCCCCATAACTTTTGTTTACCTGAACATTATAAGTAAAGTTTTGGTACCAGGTTCAGCAGATCGCGATTATTATGTTACACATATTGATGGTGGTAATAGAATAAAAAAGTCTAGATTTCTAGTTCAAGTCAAATTTTATTGTGTTTCAATAATCTGGCAATATCTGGAATATTCAAAGCCCTATGACATGTTTGTATGGATTATTACAAATATGAAAGTGGGGTTTTAAATTATTATCCAGTATTCGATTGAACGTGAATTTAATATACGCCTATTTTTCCTTGTTGATCATATTCGTGTTGTTACGTTGACAGGTGCTTAAGGTTTATGGGACCAGCTAACTATATCATAGGATTTTATTCTGATTTATTGCTATTAAAGTTGAACAATATCTAACAATGAACCCAGTAAAGCACCCTACCCATCCTATTTGAGACTCGTTGGGTGAATGTATCTCCATTCTAGTGTTGATTTTCAGAATGAAACTCGAGCCTACTACTTTTTGCTTTAAGCACTACCGCATTATCTGCTGACCTACTGAGTCCAGATATCTGGTAGTTTGTGCAACATACATTGATTTTATTTGGAAGGGTTTGTTTTCCCCTGTTGTTGATGCTAAAAACTAGATATACGTCCGTCTGAAAAGTTCCACATAGGATGGAACACTCATTCTGTTATTCACTGCTAGCCATTATTCCAATATACTATTTGGATTCAGTTTATATCGTTTACTTTGAAAATAAAAATTCGTTTCCTGCAATGTAGCACTATGATACCACTAATTTCAAAATGCTTTCACTTTGTTTACCTATTGCAGGTATCTTTCGATAGCAAGTCTCTGGGATCTAAAGTAAGAAATTTTTGTTTGATTAATCTGAAATGATTTATTATTTAAAAATATATTATTTATGTCAGTTTTTTGACAGGTTTATGTCAATAATTTACACATACAGAACTCTTTCAACAACTCACCATTCAGCACAATATAAGCATCATTATTACCAGTACTATTGTTCGTACCGCTATTAATACTTTACGTTCCAAACACTACTTACTCAAAGGGTGTTTTAAAACGATCAGTAGTCTTTTTATTATGAATATTTTGGTTTATGACCAGAAACCGGATCAAAACGACTCTTCAGCACTTTGTAAATTCCCAGTATTACCGCTAACTACATATTTTTGGCTGCCTTTAGAATGTTTTCGAAAATTACACTATCAATTATATGAAGATAAATATCTTTTATTTCAATATATCAAGTAGGTAAATTGTGGTACAAAATCTCTAACATCCAATTTGGAAAATCTGGTTTTTGCAACTCATAGTGAACACTTAAGTCTAACTCCGAATTGTTGCCTGATTTATATAAAAAGTAAACCTTTATTGTCTTCGTTAAAAAAGACTCAGAGGCGCTTATAATTTGTATGTCAGATAGAGAAACACTGAACAACTGGGACAAAAATAACAAACAGAATGTGTCTGTTAGGTTATTGGAACTAAAAAGCTATCTATTGGTCCAGTGGACGTTCATATGCGACTGGTTCATGGAGTACTGCATGCCAGAGATTTCCTTGTTTGAATTTTGAATAAATCCGTCTCCATGATGTAAAATATGAAATATCGCAGCCGTGTTTCTTCTCGGTCCACTGATGTTCACAGATCTTCCAAAGCTTTCTGCTATGATGAGATTTCTTTATTCTTGATAATAAAAAAACGTTTGTCATGAATTATTCAAATAAATTTGTTGTTTAATATTTTGCCACTTATTTCTTTTTCAGCTGAAAATCTCGTTAAAAATTGAAATAGTTGATTTTAGAATAGGTTTATAAACTTAAACTGTATGCAGATAATGATTAGGATTGGTACAATATGTCAACAATAAACATTATTTATAATCAGTGTAGTGTATCGATGTATTCACTTATCATCGGAATGAAAGAAATCATTGATCTATTCCCGTTTGTTGATTTCTTTCTCTACTGAAGAGCGATTGCTCATTAGTTAAAACGTTTATTTATTTATTTGAACACATATTGGTACAAAGGGGCATCAGATACATATGCTCCACACAAAAATTTGATTTGATTTGTGTGTAGGCTGTAATACTGCCTGGGTACCCAGACCGAAGCAGGTGGTTTTCTTAGGGGTCCACACCCGAAGCCTTCGACCTAAAGGTCTGATCCACAGGGCAGTAGAGCAACATTAGTAGGTGAAGTCTCGTGGTAGCCGGTGACCAACAATAGGTTTATGTGCCTTTTGTTCCTTTAGGATCCTGGAGCCCATGTGCACCATTGGTGTGGAATCAGGGTTTCCCAACTGTAGGTGGATCCTCCATATCCACCAACCCGGTTAAAGCACTGAACATTCGTTTTTCGTTCTCTCGATTTCCCAAACAACACCCGTGGCGTGAGAAGGCAGTAAGACTTCCCTAACAGTGGCCGTATACGCGTAGCCATCCGCTTGGTCGTAGGTTCAAACACCACTTCACCTATTTCAGTTTTTGGGCAATCAGATAGTATCACTAGTTTGGAGTTTAGCTGAAAACCGCTTGTATTGTTCAGTGCTTTGTAAATGAATTTTATATTTCTCTTTTGTTTCACGTTGCGTAAGCTTCGTCGGACAATCATTTTTTGAGGTAACTTTCACTTGATTTGTCTGTAAAAGAAGTGTTCTTTGGGTATAGGATTAGCTGTAGTCCATCGGTTTTAGCATATGGTTTGTGATCAAGTGGGTCACTGTAACTTCACTTCAACCGATTCAGTTTTGACAGCCGATTGACGTTTTCAAACATTCACATAACAGGTATGTTTGGAATACAACGTAGATAGCTTTGGTAGATCATTTCGTTCTGTCGGTTGTATTTAAGCTTTCATTGATCCTTGAATGATAGGCTTTTGTATTTTCGATACGTAAAGCCGGATTTACCTGGTAAAGTTGATGTTAATAATTAGCAATATTTATTAATTTAACAATTGTTGTTCGAAACTGCAAACGTTGTTTCATGATTTGAAAATGTAATTTTTTGTTTTTTGTCCATTTATCTGGAACACTGCATGATGAATATCCTGTTTTTACTTCATAATATATTGTTGAGGTGATAGTGTTTAATTACTGTGCTAAATTACGTCTTATACTAATTCTCGGATAAACATGGTGACGTCTGTGATTTTAGCAACTAAAGTAATATATTCATCTTGTTGCTGTATGATATATATGGATGCTTATAACCTTGGTGAAACTGTGATTTAACATTTAAGTCACGGCATTTAATCATCACTTCACAAATCCAAACTTCTGCTTACCTACTTTAGGTTGAATGATCGAATAGAGTCATTGGACAGCACATAATTTTTCATGATGTGTACATAAATTTGTGATTAGTGAGTTACAGAACAGCTTACGCGTTGACGTCATCCTAGTTTCAAACTTCTTGCATGAGTTATATCATTAATAATTTGAATCTATCCCTTAATTAGCTATTTCAGATTAACTGTGAATACTTTGAAGATGTATTTGATGACTTCCCCTAGGCTCATTGTTTGGCCCGCAGAGGCTAGATGCGTTGAGGGATTCGAACAATTACTATATCAAGAAACCAACGTACTAAATTCCATATTACATATCATAATACAGTGGCTACTGAAGTGCACATTGGCAGTAGGGACATTATTATTGTTTACATAAGCATTTAAAGCTTCAGTCCTGTTTAAAGTTATTATAATGGTGGTCCCGTGTATACAAAAATGAATTCTCATAGCTTTTAGATGTTTCTGTTGTGGAAACAGATTCTTTATATCATTATATTCCAAATATCATTTACCCGTTTTCACCTAAGATACTACAACGTTCCCTAAGTATACTGAATTCTGAAGGTATTCACAAGTTAAATCGATTGTGAAATCTCGTTTTGCCGAAAGGTTCTATGGTAACTAAGGTCTTGTTTGGATTCTTTCATTGTGATTAAGTATCCAACCCTTGTCCTCACTAGCTTTTCTTTGTATTCGGCTTTAGATAAACATATAATTTCTGAAGATAAGCTCTTGGGACTCATTGTCTGTCTGCAAGTAGCTGTTCTATAAATTTATGCTCGATTCGGCTGGTATATCGAAATAAAACCGGACACCATATATGCATTCTGTCGTATTATGTTTTTTAATGTTGAATCGACCGATTATGAAACTTGAATCCGAAGAAATTCGTGAAATACTTATGACTGGCAAAGACAGCATCGAACTTTCCTTGTGTTCGCTTAAACTTTCTGAATGTTTTCTCGTTATCGGTTTTAATGAAGTCTCAACTTTTTCACATTTCTGATATAAATATCCTTATTTTACAGAATTTGTCTCGTCAAAAATTTTAGTAAATCTTGCAAAATCTGCTGATCTCTAGTTGAGATCGACCTTCAAGAATGTTTACTACTTCACACATTGAGTTAGGAAGCTATTTTACGATGTAGTAAAAGATTCAAATCTGATTATGTGCAAATAACCTTATGGGACTCGAATTTCAGACCTCAGTTAATGGTCACGCTTTTCAGCTAAATATCTAAAGTTCTCTATATGAAGATGTTACCTATGACCTACGGTATGAAAACCTGCAATAACTTCAAAATGGTGTCTAAAAATCTAGTAAATTTATGGTTTAGATAAAAAATCAACGTCGTAAAGTTAAGCCCTTTGTAATGAAAATCGTCGCATTGTGCTGGATACTGACTACAGTAGTCTACTCATTTACTTAATCTTCTCAAGTGATTAAGTTTTTGGTAATTGTTGTCACTTATCCCTATTTTCCCTATATTCTTATCATTGACTTTTATTATGTTCCCTAGGAATACTACCTTTGCTGGTATCGAAACATTAAACAGACTAGAATCATGAGTACAGAGCCCAACTATATAGAAATATAATGAAAAGTTGGAGTTGGTGCCTGGTTTTTTACTTAACAGTACTGTTAACTTTGTCTCCCTACAATTCTGAAAACGTAGTTCGTGGTAAATTGTTGGTAGATGTCTCGTTTCTTAGTAATTGTCACCTTCAAGTCCATGTTGACAGAACAAAATTCCTGTTAGTTAAGACAAAGTCCTACACCCTTTTGTCGAGTTTGTATATTTAATAGTTCTCAGTTGTTTTTGAAAATTGCCTTCACATGCAAAATCACAAGATCTACTAAATCAATTGAGAACTAATTCTAACTAGATAGCTATTTCAATAAAGATGTCTTAATGCTTCAATTGGAAGGCATTCATAAAATTGACATAATTAGGAATAAGATAGTAACTCATCGGTAACATCCTATGGAAATAGCACATTTTCGACAGGTGACCGAAGTTAAAAAAATATCATTGAATTTCGAGTTCATGGCTGCATCATGAGCTTGAAATTGGTGAATGCTCACTGTCAAGGAGTGTCAGGTTAAGTCTACGTCGTCTATGCTTATTTATCAACGGTAAAAATATGTCTAGTTGGCCAGTTTTTGGTTAGTCAGTTGTATAACATCTTAGGAGTACGCTTTATAATGCTCAATATGTTAAGGACGTGTCATGGTCTAAGTGTTTTTTTTAATGTCGTATTGTCGATGTGTAAACGTTCCACTGTCTCACAAAACACTGGAACACAAAGTACTGTGAAAACTTGACACACCACTGAAAATTGAGTCATCAATGTTGTCAGTGTACTGAATACTTTCTCTAAAATAATGGAGATTGCAGTATAAGAAACCATTCCGATTAATTAACGATTCTTATACCGTGTACATAGTTTCCTTTCAGCTTTAAAGACGTTACTAGGTGATTAGTTTCCGATAGATTCTGAAGAAGCTTGAGCACATTGTTTCTAGTTCCTTCGCAGATATTATGCCGACTTCTTGACCTTCCTCAAGTTGTTTGGTTGTATGATTTTTTCTGGAACCAAATAGTACAGATATCTATATGTTGTTTAGTCGGTAACAAAAAAGCGGTCTTTATTGTTTTGTTCCTTGTCTTCTACAAAAGGTTTTTAAGTAGCAAAATGGATTAACGATACAAGAGTGGATAAATTTGAGCGGCGTCTAAATTACGAAATTTAGCTTGCTATTGTAGAGAATCGCTGCATTAAGTGATTTCTTGGATCCATAAACCTTTAATGCTAGTTGAGTTTTCAAAGAATTACTAAAATTACACGGAACTGAGTTCGATTATATCATTGTAATACTACGGATTGATTCTTAAATTTGTTAGCATTCTTTCAAACTTAACCATATTAGGCTCATCTGTTAGCTTTTCGTTTAACTCACTTCCTTTCTTCACATGTATATATTACGCTTTGTTTTATATTTTGTGTTATAGGGTCCTCGTATGAAATGCTTATGTCGAAGTAAAAACTGTCGTGGATATTTGGTCAACTAGAGATTTTTACTGACTTTATGGAGTACGGTAAAGCTGAAATACAGTCTGCTTATAATTGTATACAATGTCAGTTTTATCCACTCAGGCTTCATGTATTTTTAATGAACCATTAGGAATATTTGTATTTACAATTATATTTGATTCTTATTTTATATTTATTGTAAATTATACTGCTCTATACGGCAAATTATATACAAGTATATGTAAAGATAATTGGTGTAGTTTACAGATTATATGTATACTTTGTGTCTTTTTGTTCATCAGCATTTTACAGTTTTTTATAGTAACAATAAATTTTAGGGCACTGAAAATGTACGTTTACTCTTTTAAATGCCTTTATACATTTCAGTTATTTTCATTTACTTTTATCCTGAGAAGGTAACACTTTGTTGTTAATACGATATATCTGTATTCAGTGTTAATTTTTCATATTACCTGGAGTGATTTAACGAAAGACCAATATATGTAAGGATGTAAAGAACTTACATCCTGTTTCTTATCATAAGCAGTACAACCATACAGCTACATTCAATTAGTTTAACATATAACACACATTGTAAATCAATCACTAAAAAACCATTTGTGAGTTATATACCTGCACATTTGCTACTCACTTTGCTCGTGCGGAGTATTCCGAGTTTGATGAAGTCACGCACACTCCCGCTTTAGTGCCCTTCTGTTGAACCTTGTATATTCAAGATGCGTTGTTTAACATGCAGGGATTGATATTGTGTTATCCATTTAACAGTTGTGATGTTATTTCCGAAATTCCCATAAGACTACCAACCATCTTCTTTAATCCTAAAAAAATACAGAGTGGAGTAAGTTATTTAGGCAATTTCGACTGTACAACCGTCAGAAAGTGGTATATTTTCATATGTATTGAGCGGTATTCATGGAGCTTAATGTGTTACAAAGGTGCTCTATTTGTTTGCATAGTAATTTGAAATTTTTTTGATTAACAAACATTCGCTGTATTAATCAGATAGCCTTGTAGCTGAAATAGCATTCGAGATAATTGTTTAGGCCGAAAACAACATTTATTTTCATGGCAGACAACAAAGTGATGTCACATCTGATTGGATAAATTTCGACCAATCACAATGGGGTGTCTGCGCCGAATTAGATTTCAGTACTATTTTCACTTTTAATATGGCAGTTAGGTAAGACTTTTAACTTTCTTCTTAGTGATTCTATAAATTTATGTTAACTGTATAATTAATGAGCAACAAATAATCCTGAACTTTATTTATAGGAGAACGTTTTGTTTAATTTGCTGTCATGAAGATCGTCGAGATTTTTATGCTTTAGTGTCGTCAGCGTAAATATCAGATAGTGGTGTTAATGAGACATAGATCCCACTTGAATTCGCATATACTCTGTCGACCTAAACGTTTCGGAGAACGGTGTTCTGAAGGTCAAGATACAAATGTTTCAGATGGGTTTATTTCGTACGGTCTACTTGACAAACAGGTCGAGAGAAATGCATTTGGACTGAAGAGACAGATCTAACTTAGTCAATGAATGACTTGGTATTTATGTGATTTTCAGAAAACAAATGGCAATATAAATGAATGATACACACAAAACAAGCACACCTACAAATCACATATGAATATACCAAACAAAGCTACAGATGACAGAGTGCACAAGAAGATCATAAGATGTTTGACCAGATAGTAATATGTTTGATGAGCGATGGGTTCCTGATTGGTTGCAATCATCCTTTATAAAAAGTATAGACAAACGGTTTGTCGTAACAAGATTACAGGATCGTGGGTTTATCATCAGCACATTATTTATCCTGATCAAAAAATCTCTCCAAGTCTGAGAAGGCACTTACTTGGGCATGTTATCCCTCGTTAAGGTGCATAGGCCGCCCACGAACACTCCATCCAATTCTGTCCTCGTCAAACCTTCCCAGTTGTTTTCAGTTGCTATTCAACCTTTGCATGTTTACTTCCGATTCCCGACGTAGTGTGTTCTTTGTTCTTCCGCTTTTCTGTTTCTCGTCACGATTCCAAGTTAGAGCTTGCTTCAAGATACAGTTTGGTAATCTTCGAAATGTGTGTGCTATCCACCTCAAACATTCTTTCCTAACTCCCTCTTCAGATGGAAGTTTGTTTGTTCACTCCCACAGTAGACTGCTGTTGATAGTATCTGGTCAACGGACGTGGACTATCCTATGTAGAAATTTGTTTATAAATACTTGTACTAATTTGTTAGTGATTGTGGTAGTTCTGGAAGTTTCAGCTGCGTACAGTAGAACTGTCTCGACGTTCGTATTGAAGATTGTGACTTTGACATTGGTTGACAATTATTTTGAGTTATATGCGTTTTTCAACTGTAAGAATGCTGTCCTTTCTTTGCCAATCCTTGTGTATATTATCTGCATCAGATCCTCCAATTTAAATTTTTAGTCATCCTTACATTATTAATCTACAAATTTTTCGCGCAATTATCTGCAAATGAATAAAAATCGAGTGTATGTATTCCATGTGTTGATTTATTGCCTTGTTTATGACTATAGTAGTATTCACTTATTTTACTTGCAAACTTAGTTCATTCACCCTACTCAGTCAAATCACATCGATACGGTACACGTGACATGTTGACTCCCAGGCATTCATACTACATAGTGTGTTGACAAGTTATCTGTCACTCAATTCAATCCAGATATTTTAAAATAGGACGATTGCTACTGATGTGATAAGACATTGCATTTGAGTGACGTTCGTTTGTCGGGTTTTAAATCATAGACGTGAATGTAGTGTTTTCTGTATGATCACATGTCAAACATATGCAACTAACTTTTCCACATATTATATTCAGTGGTTTTTTTATGTGAGATTTCATTCAATATCGAAAATACTCAGACGTTCTTAATACTGCATGAAGTGAAGCGTTATATAACTTATAATTTTTAGAGTAATAAATCTCACTGGTGATATTTGAAGAAAGCCTACATATTTCAAAGAAAATGCACAAAATTCGTATCACGGAGAAACTTTTGACAAGTTATTCAGGGAGATCTTATGATTTATTATAATATTCGCACACCATATTTCAATCCAAATAATGGACTGCATTGAGGGTAGAATCGGCTATGTATATTAGATCCCTTACACCACAACATCAGATCAGGGGAATATACATCATACAAACAGGTATGTGTAAGTTACCTTACGTTGCAACCCTGAATGACTATTACCACTATATCCTTGATAATTTTATGGAAAAATGGTTAGTTGTTATTAGACAGGTTCTGACCAAATATTGGAAATCTGTCAAGTTAGAGTAGGAGTATGCCAACTTAAGTTGGCTAGGGTACAGTTTTTCATTCACAAAAGCGTCAAAATTCACAGACAATCGGTGAAGAGAAAGGGGACTGTCTACACTACCTTACGTTTTGTTTGCAACTGTTGATGTAAATTGTAAAACATTGAATGTCTTGCATGTATTCAGTAACCACTTAATGATGACGCAATTTTGTAAACAGCAGTAGATGTTAACTGAATGAATTTCATCCAAGTATAGTGAAAAAACTTTCACAATCAAACGTGCAGAGAATTTGAAGTAAAGCATTATTATTAGTAGTTAGAAAGTTGAAGACTTCTGGTGGTGTGGCATCCAGTAATGAGGTTGAAGGGACACATGTTTATCACATGACATCAAATTGTTTTAGGACGTCTGTATAAAGATACTCTTGCGAATTATTTGTAAAACTGCAGGATATTAACTAGTCCATTGTTTACTGAATTGTTATCTCAACCTAAGAAATTCTCTTTAATTCGAGATTAAAACTCTGCATAACCCCAGTGGAGTCCGATCCGTGTCGGGTAGAAACAGGTATCTACTTGAGATAATCAATGAATAGTTTCGCAATATCATGCATCCATTGAAGTTAGACATTATCGCCGTCGGATTCCGGCTCAGTGGTCTAGAGTTTTGGTGCGTGCGCGAGACCGAACCCGCGTCGGGTTCGTGGGTGCGCGTTGCAAAGGTGTCCAGTATTAGAAAGAGATGGCGATCCATAGCTCCCAGCTTTTCAATGGCGGTCTAGTTTACACCAACATGTGAATTCAACTATTAAAAAGAGAGACTTTTGAGGCTAAATGAATGAAGTTCTACCAAAAATAATAAAATCTATCAACCATCTTAAGTGGAGACAATGAAGTACGATAACAGCTGTTGAAGTACGTGACCGAACAATAAAGGAACGCGTTTAGATACTATGCAACAGAAGTAATAATAAATCGTAAATACAGAGTAAATAATAATAATCTGCCCTTAGACCGAAAAATAAGCATAGTACACATTATGAAGAAATGGCTAGTCTATATTCACAAAGAAACAGAGATGTGTAGATAAATAGACTCAATACATAAGTATTTTTTACATCTACGTAGATATAAGTTACCTTACTTTTTTATAACGCTAGATGTAGGTGAAGGAAAATTGAAGGTCATGCTTCAGTCTTTGGCAAGGTTGCAGATGTTCATCCCTGAAGAGTTGAATACTACGGTGAAATAACTATACAATCAGTTCTACCTGGTTTACAGCCCCAAAAAGAAGCTGTTCCTTTGAGAGAGTTAATCACGTGTTCCTTCAATGGCTGAATAATGTTGGCTAAAATGCTACTACATCCGTCTTGAAGTTAATTTATCGCTTAATGTTTGCTAGACCTAATATTCCATTATTTGGTACAGGCTAGATACAGAATCTCTCAAGTTTGATCTGTGGTCGTTGCACATCATGATGAAAGAGTTCGTATGTAGTGGCATTGGGCCCTACCACGAGACAATATGAGAAATAGACATTAAACATTTAACGCGGAGAAATACAGAATAATGGAGAAGGCAGGGAGAAGGAATTGAATTAATCGGGGTTAATCTTATGGTATGCCTCGACCATGCAGGCGTGGTCCCTCCTGAATTTTACCTTATATCTTTTATTCATATCAAATATAATGTCCTATCTCCAGCCTAAGATTGTTCTCAATCATGTATTAGTAATTGGTACGACGCAGTGAGTTGGTGTAGATGAGGATGTGACTTTCACGTAAGAACTTATAGATTATGCAGTTACATCATAACAAATCTACAATTTTATAATTAGTTATATTATTAGAGCAGTGCTAATATCATAGTAGACCATAATTCTACACGTACACACACAATGCATCATTTTGAAGCTCAAATTCTGGACCTGTAGACATTTGAAAACATAACGACGTCTTTTTCTATAGGTCTACTTCTGTGGGACAAATGGGTTCTGGGGTTATCTACTTAAATCTCCAAAATACTGTCACCATCTGAATACCGGTGGTATCTGTACTAAATGATGATTCCTTTGTACATGATCAACAGTTGATTACGAACTCCAATTATAAAACTTTCATCTGTGATCATCAA